GGGAGAGCGTTCCACAGTCTGGGGGCCACAGTGGCAAAGGGTTTCTCAGGGTGAATTTTTCCCCTGTCTCCCTTAGTTCTCCACCTTGTATGCTGTGTGTGCAGTGTTTTGAACAACCTGCAGACACTCCAGGGAGTTTTTGCTTAGACATATAAACAGTGAATTACTATAGTCTAAACGTGTTGAAATGAATGCATGTGTAACAATCTCCAGTTTGGTGTGAGATACAATAGGGCTTAATTTAACAATGTTTCTTAGATGATAAAAGCAAAACCGAAGCAGAAATTTGACATGAAGATCCAAAGTGAGAGCCAAGTTAAAAGTTTACCTCTAGGTTGCTGATAGACAATTTCACAAATGTCAAAAGGGGACCAAGAGCTTTCGTTGTCTTAGGTGCAAATCTGTCAGGAGCACATTCAAGGACTTTAGTTTTTCCTTCATTAAGTTGAAGGAAGTTGTCAGCCATCCAACCTTTAATGGATTCTAAGCACTGATTTAGAATCTACAGCTTAGAAACATCTTGGGGCTTAAAAGAAATGTATAACTGAATGTCATTTGCATAGCAGTGATAGCAAATGTCCTTAGAGGGGTCAAAGTATGCTGAAGAGGAAGTAGATAAATTAGAAACAATAAAGGTCCCAATACAGAACCACGTGACACACCATAGGTAATGGAAGTGGAAGATGACCTGTACTTAGAAACCGCCACAGCAAAAGTATCATACATACAAATATGGGGAGAACCAGTCCAAGGCAGATTCAGATACACCGACCCAGTATTCAGCCTTCCAAGCAGAATGCGGTGGTCAGCCGTACCATAGGCCAACGTGAGCTCCTTTACTCATTAAACTAATTTGCATTCTACTTTTTACACTGCTATCATTGTTTCTATTAAAAGGATCACACCTTTACCAAATAATGTGTCTCAATTGTTACAAATGAATTAAATCAAACAAATACAGAAAGCATGCACAGAGCTTTATACAGCATTGCATACTGACCTAATAAGATGTAATACAGATTTGTGCAGAAGGAAACAAATAAACAGTTGACAGTGAGTTTAGCAAAAGCACTTCTTATTTTAAACAAGAGGAAAGTCCTGTGGTTGTTCAGCATTTTCTCTTCTTATTTTTTTCTTCCATGTGCAGAGTTTTTACTTTTGGCCTGTGGAAATTCCTCAGTGTAGGCTGTATAGAGTTGGCAGACTAATTCACCTGATTCTCTACATCTTGAAGGGAAGTTGGTATACTGTTTTTTTAAATCCATTTCTCTTTCCCTCACAAGCCTAGCTCTTAAAGTTTTCTTCATTGCACTATTTCATCATTTCACTGAGTTTTGTAGAATGAGCCATTCTTTCAGAAATGTTTGGAAAGGCAGACTGCATGGCTAGGTGCTTGATTTAATATACATGTGGCAATGCAATTGAAAACACTTGCTGGTTATCTTCTTCATCATGTTTGGATTTCATGCTTTACCTTAACTGTTTGCCTCATGAACTCTACCTTTTTTTACCTATAGGTTTTATCTTATAAATTTGAGCTTTATTTGCCTCCTTCCCATTATAGGGTTGTTGCTTTATTTTTGTTGTGTTTTTACTGTTTTATTTCCAATACACTGGTGCCTCAAATCAAATGTTATTGAATGTCCCATTAAACCTTGATGAGTTTTGTTTAAAGCTTGATAGGGGAAAATTAAATTATACTATGGTCCATCTTATTTATTTAAAATTGAAGGACTATAATGGACTAAAACACAGTTCAGACTGTTTATTGAATGCATTGGGCAAAATCTTGGAGAAGCTCACGGCTCTGCAACGGGAATTGAGAGACCTTGTGACTAGTGATGGACATTAGACCAACTGTAAAATTGGATGCAGTTTGTTCGCACTAACCAAAACAACTACCATCATGCGGCCCCCTGGTGCCACCTGGTTGCTCAAGGCAAAAGCTGGCAGAAATAACAAAATTCTCCCTTAGATAACAAGACTGTTGTTGTGAAGGGACACTTTCTCTCAACTGAACACGAAACACAGACACACACATACGCATGTATACTAACACAGACCCAGTTTCCTCCAGGGCCAACCTTGGATTTGGAACCTGGATTAATAAAATGATATTGCATTGAATTGAGTTCAGCCAGAATTTAAAAACTGAACTCTGAAATAAAAGTAGGATGGTCACTTTCTATTTTGAAACATCCAATTTTATTACTCCCTGTTGACATTTTATACTTTCTATGCAGTAAATCATAAAAAGCACTTCATGCGACCTTCTATTGTTTGTGCACTGTTTCTGTTGCTTTACTGGGGAAACACACACACACTCAAGGTAAATGCAAATTTTAGATTTATCAAAAAGAAGAAGCATGAATTTTCCCTTCCTGTTTATGGGAAGTTTCCTTTCCTATTTCACAGGGTGACGATTGTAGATTGAAGTTATTGACATATTAAGTGTGGTCCTTATTAAAAATGTGCAAGTACACCACTTTAAGGAAAATAATAGGATAAAAAATGGTTGCGGGAGTAAACCAATGCAAAACAAGTAATGCAAAATAAACCGTTAAGGTCTAAGTGCAGGGCAACATGAGAGGAACGCAAACAAGAGGAGTGTAGTGTGAAAAATTGAACTTGGTGTCATAAAAGGAACAGAAAAAAAACACGAGTTTGTGAACAACCTTCTTTTTCTAAGACGTGCGTAAACCCAGGTAATTGTGATAATGATGACTAATAATGAACGATAATGAGGGTTTTTTTTTTCTTTAAATAGCCAGCCATCTCATGGCAGACTGAAGTCATATAGCTCAATCACCACTAATGTTACAACTTTCAAGATAAGATAAACAAATTTCTGATGTATTGTTTGGTAAATGGTAAATGGCCTGTATTTATATAGCGCTTTACTAGTCCCTAAGGACCCCAAAGCGCTTTACATATCCAGTCATCCACCCATTCACACACACATTCACACACTGGTGATGGCAAGCTACATTGTAGCCACAGCCGCCCTGGGGCGCACTGACAGAGGCGAGGCTGCCGGACACTGGCGCCACCGGGCCCTCTGACCACCACCAGTAGGCAACGGGTGAAGTGTCTTGCCCAAGGACACAACGACTGAGACTGTCGGGGCTCGAACCGGCAACCTTCCGATTACAAGGCGAACTCCCAACTCTTGAGCCACGATGTTTGATAACAACCATCTTATAAAAAGTGCACAACAGCAGACCAGCAGGTTAACAATCCCCCTGTTCTGAGGCTGAAAGCTCCTGGAAGTGTCTCTCTGTTTACTAATATCAGTGGCCAAATCCAAGTAAAATCCAAGTTGCAGTAATTTGAAACATGGTTAGATGAAAAAGTGACACATTTGCCGAATTGTTGATATCTGGATGTCTTATAAACATCCAAATGTTCAGCCTTTTTACTTTATTTGTGTTTTAAGGATTCTTCGTATTATTGTATGTCTTTACCATACGATATAAAGCTCCTTGAGGCAACATGTTGTAATTTGGTGCTATATAAATAAAACTGAATTGAGTTGGATGATCTGGTCCAACTTCTACCAAGTCAAAAACAAGTCAAATTCAAATGAAAAGAGAAAAATACAATACAATACAATTTTATTTTTATAGCAAGTTTAAATTCAGGGTGTACACCAAAGTGCTTCACAGTAAGGAATAAACAGAAAAATGATTACACTAAACAGTAAGTCATTAAAACAAGGTAAAATAGGATCAAACAAAGGCATTAGTAAGTAGGGATAGGGAGAATTCATGATAATCCAGAGAAATGAGTAACGATACAGCAGTTAGTGAGCGGTGAGAATTAGCAAGTCGGAAAAGCCAGGTTGAATAGGTAAGTTTTCAAGGGTGCTTTAAAGAATTGAATGGACTCAGAAACATGAATGGTAGCTGGAAGACTATTCCAGAGGTTTGGTGCTACAGAGGCAATGGCACAATCACCCCTAGTCACTGACCAGACGATCACAAAGAACAGCTGGGAGAATAAAGACTGAGGAAGTCGGTGAGATAGTCAGGCGCAAGGTTGTTTAGGCATTTGAAAGTAAGCAGCAGAACTTTAAAATCAATACAAAATTTAATAGGCAGCCAATGTAAGTCAGAGAGCACAGGAGTAATGGAGGCAAACTTTCTAGTTCCGGTTAGAAGACGAGTTGCAGCATTCTGGACAAGCTGTAACCATTGGAGGTGAGCGAGTTGGAGTCCAGAGTAGAGAGAGTTACAGTAATCTAATCTGGAGGTGACAAAGGCATGTATAAGTTTTTCAAGATCTTTGTACGGTATTAGAAGTTTGACCTTGGAAATTTGGCGCAATTGGAAGAAGCCAGATTTAACCACAAAGGAAACCTGTTTATCCAGTTTAAATGAACTATCCAGGAAAACACCTAGATTACTTACAGTATAGGTAAGAAGAAAGCAAAGGGACCAAATCGGGCAGCTAGCTGATCTTGTGGAGTGTGACTATCAAACACCATAATCTCAGTTTTCTTCTCATTTAAAATGAGAGAATTGGCTGACAGCCACTCTGTGATCTCTCTCAAGCAGTCAGACAAACGATTCAGTGAAGCTGGCAGGTCATCAGACAATTGGAAATGGATTTCAATGTTGTCAGCATAACAGTGGTAGGAGATGTGATACTCCAAACAGTAGAGTGCCCAGGAGGACGGCCTGCCGAGCACACTGGCGCCATCTTGGATTTACGATTAGATCCTCCCCTCAACCCTCATAAATAACAATGTTCTATGAGAGCTTCCACAGAATATATGTAGAAAACACTCACAGTATTTGTGCAACATACTAAATCAAGAGATTGGAAGTGCAATGAAAGTAAATATCAGTAAGTATTTATATCAGTAAGTATTACCTTTGATAGTATATATTATATTTTTCTGATGGGAAATCACATTTAACAAAAAACATCTTGACAGCAGCTCCTCACTCCATCAGCTTTCAGCTGTGCAGTCTGTGTATAGGCACTGACCACTTAAATTACATGGCTTTATGGACGTTGCCATACAAACAAGCATTTCCTGTTGGTTCCGTCTGCCGAGGACGCTTTGAATACTTGACTTTGCCAAACTCTAGCTCAGCTCTTCTCTCCAGTTGTTTCGCCTGCCGTTTCACAACCCTAATATCAGCAAAGATTTCTTCCTGGTCATCTTCTTCCTCTGAGGAATAGCAAGTAGAGGGTTGGGGCAGCAGAAAAAGTTGGTTAGTTTTATCACAAAGACTGGAAATAATGTAAAAATTATTCACACAAAATATGACTTTTGAAATGGGTTCATCAGCAAGCTTTAGACTTTATGGTAGGACAGATCTGTCTTCTGTGGTAATGGTAGCTGGTTAAACGCTATCCACATATTTAACTGACATATCTTGCTAAGTCATCAAAAAAGTTTCATTTAAAAATTTCCAATAATTATTATTTTTTTAATCTGAGCATTGTGAGTGAGGAAAAAGATGAAGTTTTGTACCTTTTTGTTTTTTAGGTTTGCTGTTTTTCTTTTTCCGCTGAGCACAGATGACTGCTATACCCACAAGTAAGAAAATGATGAGCGTCGTGAGAACACCAATTAGTGGCAAATTTCCTGTTTCATAAATTTTAAAAAAGAGCTGTTATTTGAGTCAGAAAACACGATTTTATGAAAAAATTAAATGGGGATAAATAAGAAAATCACACCAGTGGATGTAGTTAGTTTTCAATTTCTAATACACCATATGTCATCACTTATGGCAGCTCCATTCTGCTTACCCTTAAAAATCTGTGCTGGTTCAACACACAGGGTGTTACTGGCTTTATGCACCCATCCCGATATCATTGTCCCATTGACTGTGGTGCAGTTAATAAAAATGAACCCTATGAGAAAAAGAGATAATTCATGACCATTATAAAAAGTGACATTAATTGTCAAAGTTGTGATTATCGCCTACTATCACTCACCACAGGTAGATATCCTCTCTTCTTTGGAGACATTACTGACGTTGTTCCTGACTGAGCAGACCAGAGTTCCTGAGACATGCTGTTTCAGAGTCATGATGTTACTCTCATTATTTACAGAAAGAAGCTCAGCATCTGTCAGTGTGCGTCCATCCAGAGTCCAGCTGTACTGAGGACTGTCCCCTCCCTCAGAGGAGCAGGACACCCTCATCTCTCCCTGGGACAGACACCGAGAGACCAGCAGGACAGAGGACACAGGAGCTGAGGAAAAACACACAGATGATCTTTATTTTTTAAAAAAATCAGGATCTTTGTCATTCGTTGTAGTCTCTAATGAAAACCAAGTATAAAGCATAAAACACAAATATCTAAAATGTGAGATATGTGAGATATATAGATGACCAAAACAAGGTTAAATTCAGATCTTTTAATGGCTTAATTTCCCAACAGGGAAGCATTTACCTTGAATAAACAACTGTAAAGTCCGCTCGCCTGATGATCTTCCATCTGAATCAAAGGTTTGAAGGGTATACTTACCACTGTCTGACCTACTCAGGTTATTGATCCTAAATGTTCCATTACTGGGAAAATTATATCTATGTTCTATGGTATTAGAAATAACCTTATTCTTTCTCACATCTAGTATTTTTAATGAATTATTTAACACTTGGTATCTAGATATTTCTGAGGTGTTGTCCATCAGCTGGATGTCCACGGTTCCTCCCAAAGCTCCATAACACTGAGCTCCATCCTGTCTGCCATCACAGTGAGTTTCCACACCTGGAACTTTTGAAACATTAATAAAGAAAAACATTTGTAATTCATTAGTTTCTGTTAAATAGTTTTACGTGTTACAAATATTTCTGAACTACCACATTGAAACGTAATACCAAACTGCATATTGAATAATCCATTATTTGGATTGAGTGTGTATAAAATGATGAGCATTGTACTACTGCCATAAATATATGATCTCAGACTACTTTGCAGAAGTAGTTTTCCAAGGTGCAAGTAATCACCACAGTAATGTTTCCAACAGTGCAATCATGTTAATAACCAAGATAAACAGTTAAACAGATCCTCCACAGTTTTGGCCAAAGCGAACACCATAAAATTTGTTGGGCAATTAAAACTAAAACATGGATACCATGTCTATAGAAGAACTTTTCAGACTCTTTTCACCTACAGATAGTTATGGAGAGCTCAGTAGGTCAGTTGAAATGCTAATATTTTCATGAAAAAATACAAATAGATACAAAAATGGCACAATAACATAAAGTGCTTATATGAACAATGTAACATTTAACAGAAACAACAAACAGAAGAAAGAAACAGAAACAAAGAACAGTCTTAAATTTTTAAATATCTCATTATTATGTTTACCTTACCACTGCTACTATCCATCCTATGCAATTATTGCTCAAATTTACACTGCAGGTACAGTAGTGTCACCAATGAACCTAATGCCTATTCATCCATTTTCTTCAATTTATCCAATTCAGGGCCACTGCGACTAAAATTAGAGACGTGGCCATAAAGAAACTAAAGCGCTGCTCAAATGGTTACAAACTGTAGATTTTGCCAAAAAGAATATAACCTGATTTTTCAAGTATTAGTAGAGTTACTTTAACATCCCTTATTTTAAAAAAATGGTATTGCGTCAAAACACATTGCTCATATATAACATATTATTAATAATTATTTATATATTTTTTTTTTTAAAAAACCATCAGCTCACCATGAGGCACTCCCAGTAGAATCACCATCAAGCCAAGCACAGCTTCCATGTCTCCTCACTGTTCAGTCTGTGTTGACATAGTTGGAAGTTATCAGAGTGCTTTATTAAATGGCATGCACATATCTCCAGTACTTAATGGTCATAAATGGCTCCTTGGAAAACCTGTTCTCACTGCATATGTGGAAATCTGAAAAAGGAAGTGAAAACAACACGCACCTTATTTGGCAGAAATAAAAGGAAGCTCATAGAGCTTCCAAGGGCTTTTTCAGTCATTATTTACGTTGTCACTGGACTATTTTTAGATCTGCAACCAACTGGCACTATCTTTCTATTACATTCAGCCACTGGCTTAATCCAATTCAACAAAAGTCTCATTTAAAGTTCATATTTTAGTGACTTACATGTAGTTTATGTCCATCTTGCAGGTAAATGCATTTCCATCCAGAGTGGAAGCTGAAACACCTTAAACCATTTTAAAAAAATTAACATCACCATTTTAAGGATTGTAGTTTATAGGGTGATTAGTGGTTTTCATGACTGTTGTTGCCAATATTCATTCATACCAGAATCTGAATACAGCCCTGCATTCAGTGAGAGAAATGTTTCATTGCTCATTCTCAGCTGTAACACACTACAGCTACATGATGACTGAAACTAGCACGATTGCCTGCCACAAGTTCAGTTTCATGATCATTAATATGTAAAATGTAACAACCCTGCCATAGTCCCTCAGTCCTCCCTGGCTGGCTTCCCCAGGTTGGGCTTCTGTCTGTCTCTTGTTGTTGTTGGCTGTGCTCAGGTGGGACTTATCCTGGGTGCAACGAAGGCAAATATGTCTCAAAAGAATTCCAAATCTTTACGACATAATCCTCAAGCGTAAAGTAAGCTTTACAAATGTATTGGAGGTAGTGTGTAGGCACCTGGCAATTATCAGAGAGTTGGTGGAGAAGTCCTTCTTGTAACAGTTTACAGAGAATTGGTGTCAGAACTGAAAATAGAGATAAATGTTTTTGCAAGCAGCAGGTAAGTAGTTGTCCAGATTGGCAAGGTTTCTGTAGAAGTACGGGGAAGTAATTAGGAGAACTGAGAGGAAACTGGGTTAGAACAAACGGGCAATTGAAGGCAACAGAAATGACTTAATGTTCCCCACAATGCTGGAAACTATGGAGAGAAATGTGTCTTTAAAGGGTTACACATGTGTATGATATGATCCACCTGCATAAACTAAGCTTCACAAATGTGTGCTATGATTTGTGTGTAACTTTTGAGGAGTCACGTGCATGTGTTTGAATCCACACTCAAATATGAAGCAATTTGACCACAAGTGAAACCATTTTACAAATCCAAACCTGGATAACTACTCATTATTTTATTAGGTTCAGCTCACCAATCCCAAACCTTTCTGTGTGTACAAATAATTAACATTGCTCTCGGTTAAAAAAACGCTAAATTTGTCTGGACAAATAGCTTGAGACGCACATCGCATTGCATGCCCAGTTGGGGTTTTGAGTAACATTTAATGCTGCCAGCTTCCCACAGATCCACAAATGTAAGCTGCTTTCAAGTTGCAGTGGAAACCTGGGACAACCAGGCTTCCACTATATACCTGCTGTCTTTTTCTCTTTTTTTTAAGAGTGTAGTGTCTGCAGTTGGTTAATCCATGTTTTTGAAGTAAAGAGCTGTGAGCTGTTGTGTTTGTTTAGAAAAAGAAACGTCCATTTTATTTAAAAACAAACAAACATGTATTTGGATTATTGGATGCTTGTATTCCTTTCCCTTCCTCCCTGGAGCACTGTGCACTGTGTTTAACATTATTGACTTCATTGTGAATAAACACACTGATCTTTTATTTTAAGACGTATGTTTGAGTCGAGCCTGCCTCATTGGCCATGAAATTTTGTTTAATTTTGGCGGTTTAATTATGAAAAATGTAACAATTAAATTAAATATTTTGGTGATTAAGTTTTAAAGCCTGACTATATCTACATCTGTAATTGTTGAAAATAAATTAAATGAGAGAAATAAATACAAGTAAAACATGTTGGATTTTGGGTTCATCATTTAGTTTTTTTTCCTTTGGAGCACAGGTGACTGCATAACTAGAGAGTACACCCGTCATCACTTTTTCTTTATGCAATACCGAATCTGATAAGCATGTGTCAGTAACCAAGCTCACTGGTCATGGTCGCCCTAGCTTAAATGCATTCTTATTAAAAATATATCTTTGCCTTCTCACTGTTCAGTGTGTGTTGACACAGTCAGCAACAGCCTCCAACAGCATCCTGTTAGAGAGCAGCCTCACAGGAGGATGTGTGAAAACTCTGACCAAAAAGAGCATTGTTATATTCGGCGTATTGTTTGAAAAGGGGTAAAAGCAGTTGACACATTACTTCCTCTTTAAACTTACAAGAATTGGAGATTTCTGAGACACCCGTTTGGACTGACATGAAGAGAGGGAAATGATCTTCATGGTAGAGAAAACAAGAGCTGGCATTTTTAAAAGATCACACTACAATCACATCTGCATGTCTTTAAGTGTGCAGCTACATTTCTTTAGCATATTGGCAGGAAGTCAGATGCGACTCCTGTTACTGTTGTCTAGGGCACCAGTTTAGCTCACAGGGTGAGGAGGTAACCCTCACCCTTTGCTGAGTGTCCTCTGCACACTCCCTGCTTGCCTTTCTACTCTCCAATAAAGGCAAAAACACCTGATTTTGTTTGTTTGTTTTGTTGTTGTTTTATTTAAGGCTTATGTGTTACGTCAGTTATGAGACTGTTCCCTTTGAATGAGTGTGACTGCAGAACCTCAATGAACCAACAGGGGGAAACATTACACCTACTACTGTTACAGGAATTTTACTCCAATCTAAAAAAAAAATGCTCAACATACAATTAAGCTACAATTTGTGATTGTAAAAGTAGCTCATGAAAGCTAAAAACACCTGACAGGTCTCTACTCTTTTTTTTTTTACGTTTGCTTTTAGAAAAGGAAAATAGAATTACACACTAGTAAGGGAACAACCTTTAAATATATAGATTTTTTTTTACGTTAAAAATGACAACTCTTATTTATAACAGTGAACAGTGGGCTATCATTGTTCACTGTTGTAAATTAGACCTAAACTCAAAAGGCTAATGTTTTAGTCAATTTTACACAAGCCTGTGGTTTTTTTTTTTGTTTTGTTTTTAATGAAAGAAAAGCCCCTGACATCTCAAGCATGACCTAACTTCATACTGCTGACCCTTTTCATTTAGCTTTTTTATTTTTATTTTTTTTAACTTTGCACAGTCCTGGTTGAATTAATGTATAAAGCTCCTTAGCCATTCCCAATGTCTTCATATAATGAGGTAGGATAATGAGAAACAGGTGCAGTGACTTGTTGAAATATGTGCAAACATGCGCAGAGAAAGCAAAGACAGTTTGCACAATTCTAAAGCACTTAAAAGTCA